TGGAGAAGTGCTTTGTTTTCTGTAACCCTGATTCAAGGAGACACTTGGAGAAGTGCATTGCTTGTAAGAGTTTTTGTTTGATATTTTGTTATCTCATCAGAGACTTTATTTATGTTATTTTTGGGCTCGCAGCCAGTCTGAGCCGAGAACTGATAAAGAGAGTTCCTTTTAAGTTGTTTGCCTGTCATCTGTTATCGAGCGAGGAAGGGAGGACAGAACATATACCATATTTAAGTTTGATTCTTGGTTGTTTATTTTTCTTAAGCCTACAGTGGAGCTCATTCAGGGAGGTCAAAATCAGCAAAATGGTAGGTGGAGTATTGCAATGCAAGATTATTTGTTTATTTCAGTTCACGTGCACAGTGATTTCCATGCATATGCAGTGTTTTCAGTAATGTATAGCATCAACAGTTAAGGTAAACTTACCTCATCAAAATATCTTAGGGAGGCAATGAACTGTAACCAGTGGTGGGTTGCAGGTAGTACATCCCAGTTACGGGCGTACCGGAGCTTGCCCAGAGCACCAGATTCCGTTCTGGTACAATGCTCCGGAGGGCCCACCCTCACTCCTTACCTGTGTTTTAAGCATTTGGCACTTCTGCGCATGCGCATGGTGCATATGGCACCTGCACGATGCTCTGCCAAGCTGCTGGAGCGTCACGGAGGCTTGAGGAAGCATTGCAGGTAAGTACGATGCATGCGTACCAGTTGGAATGGAATCCGGAACCCACCATTGGCTGTAACCTATTACAAATCCATGCAGTTGTTCAAGTCTCAGGAACCACTAAAAAAAGATTGCTCCAGATTTTCTAGTTCTCAGACTGAATCTCTTACGAAAGCTCTTTAATTCCAGTTTCTTAACCACAGTGATGCAGTGATGGGTTTAGACTATACTATCAATATTATATTGATATTAAGACGCTGAACTTGTCGAGTAGAAAGGTCGGCAGTTCGGCAGTTAGAATCCCTAGAGCCCCATAACAGAGTGAGCTCCCGTTACTTGTCCCAGCATCTGCCAATGTAGCAGTTCAAAAGCTTCTTGCATGTAAAAGTGCAAATAGAAAAATAGGAACTACCTTTGGTGGGAAGGTAGCAGCATTTTGTGCACCTTCCAGCATTTAGTCATGCTGGCCACATGACCATGGAGACGTCTTTGGACAGTGATGGCTCTTCGGCTTTGAAACGGAGGTGAGCCTGCCCCCTAGAGTTGGGAATGACTAGCATCAGCGGTGGGATTCAGCCAGTTCGCACCTATTCGGGAGAACCGGTTGTTAACTTTCTAAGCAGTTCAAAGAACCGGTTGTTGGAAGAAATCTTTTGTTTTTTCCCCAATTTACATGGCTAATCCTGTAAGGAAGACAGGAAGGAAACATTCTGGTGTTGCTTCTAGCCTAATCTTTATTGCCCTGCTTACAGAAACTGCCTCTCCAGTTAACCCTTATTACATTGTAACA